GCTTTCCTTAATTTATCTTTAACTTCATTATTCAATTTTTTATAATTGGACCATTTATTAGGACTCCCAGAGGATTTCGCTATTTTCCATAGCCTTTGTTTTTTGTGAATTAATTTCCTAATGTCCGAGTTAAACCAAGGAACATTCCGCTTAGACGAAAGGAATTTGGAAGGGATATTACGTTCAACAGCTTTGAAAAACAAACTCTTCCACGAACTCCAAACAACCTCAATATCCGATACCAAGTCAATACAGTTCCATGGGATATTTCTAAAATCCTCTTTTAAACCGTCCCAGTCAGCATTTTTATAATCGTATACTAGTCTGGGACTACATTTACGGCGAGCAATCTTAACTTTCAGTGCAAATTCAATAGAATCATGATCAGAGTTAGCTAAGCCTTCACAAACGTTTGACCAAAGCATTAATTCTGGTTTATTTACAAGGACAAGGTCAAGAATGTTACCTTTTCGAGTAGGTACATTTATCATTTGATGTAAAAAGTTGTCATCGATCATGTCACAAAAATATGCAGAAGTACCGTCGCTGCATAAAGTCGAAGGCGACGGAGCGAACCAATTAATATTTGGGAAGTTAAAATCTCCAAGTAATACAAGTGTTAAGTTTTTCCCATTACGTTCAATCATCGATAAAGATTTTTCCAGTTCTTGCATATAGTTCAAGTCTGTCGACGGCGGCCGATAAAAAACTCCCACTAGCATGGTTGTAAGCGGATTTGGTATGACAACCTCGCACCAGAGCACTTCGCATTCGGTTTCATAATCAAGACGTCTTCTAACACTCAAATGATGACTGCATGCTAGTAATATTCCACCCCCGCTTCTTGACCGGTATTTCCTAATAACTTGATAGGAACTAGGAAAGATTTCACCATCGTTAATCGAAGAATCTAGCCAGGTTTCTGTCACGGCAATCACGCCATAATCATAAGATGACAATCGAGTCCTTAATTCTCTCTCTTTATTCACGATACTTCGAGCATTGAAAGACCAAAATGTCATCTTATCTTTTCGATCATCTACTGACTGTACAGGCCCAGGATTCAAGCTGACATTACCAGCTAATAGTATTAAATAAATAGCGGTTAGAGTTGATCTTGTTAGCAATATACCGCTTCGAAGCTTGCAACATGGCGTCAGCCTCCCTTCACACAAAGTGCGTGAGAGCCCTGAATTACGTCCAGGAAATGTTTTAGACTCCAATTTAAGTGCCAAAAACAAGTTACTATTACTACCAGTTGAGTTAAAACCCTCAACTGTACTCCAAAATGTTGTAATAAGTAAAATTATTGAGATCGAGCAAGAGCTTCGATAAAGTTGACCACCCATGACGACGAACATAAATGTCGATGTTATGTTTTCGACGCTTGGGGCAAGTAAGGCATTCGAATCAGTGCTATCAGAGCAAAGTCGGCAGCTGTTGTTCCTATCAAGCCAGTGTGCAAACGCCAAAGCTATAGCGCAAATTTGTTTATATTATAAAGTCTAATTTAGCGCCTGCCAGACTCTTGTGTTCTTGTGTCAGAAAGATGCAGTCATCTTTTGCTGACAGCTTAATTAAGAAGATATAGTCATATTTGCTTAATCAGTTGAACCTAAATTTTTATAATAAAAACACAATCTATTATGCATGAATCATTGTATATCATGATATTGCGGTTGCAGCTCTAGAGGGGAGGTCTGTATTATCTAGTTATATAATTCAACAAGCCTTTCTTCTGCGCGAATTGTACTGCATGATTAGAACCGGCCAGCCAATATAGTGAAATAGAATGTATACCAATAGACAGCAAACAGTACACGAAATCTTGTTTTGTTTTAAAATCAGTGTACGCAAAGCTAGCGCAAATTTGTGTTTATCTTATACAGACCAATTTAGTGGAGACTCTTGTGTTCAGTAACACACAGGGTGTATAAAAAAACTGAACAGATTTGACATTGCTCTCAATTTCGCAATGCAGCTCGTGGTATAAAGTTTTTGTTATATAGATTCCTTGAGTACCCATAATGTAGAATAATGAAAAAAATAGAACGAAGCAACAACATATAATATTGATATATTGCGTCGTTTCTTAAGAACGAAGGAACACTAGCTATTATTACATTGTGTCGTTTTTTTTAAGACTGACGAAGCAACAACATATTATATTGATATACATATTGCGTCGTTTCCTAAGAACGAAGGAACAACATAGCTATTATTATATTGCGTCGTTTTTTTAAGACTGACGAAGCAACAACATATTATATTTATATATTGCGTCGTTTTGTAAGAACGAAGCAACAACATATTATATTGATATACAGGGTGTATAAAAAAAAAACTGAACAGATTTAAAATTGCTCTCAATTTCGCAAAACAGCTATTTGTGTCCGTTTTTTTATATATATAGCCTCTTCGGGTACTTATAATGTAGAATAATGAGAAAAATTTCTCGAACTCAAATTTTGTGAACCAGGGGGGGGGGGTGTCTTTTCCAACAAACTAAAAATGGCTCGCGCACAAAATTAAGCTGCAATCATATTTTGAGTTAACACATGGAAAATTTGTCGGCATTTTAATTACTGTACAAAATTTCAGACAATTTGGTTTAGTTTAAGCCCCTTAACTATTCACGCAAAGTTACAATTTTTCCGAAAAATCAGCTATTTGCATGCTTAATTAATGCATTTGCCTAATTTGCATATGTCAGCAATATGCAAATTAGGTAAAGGCATTAATTAAGCATGCGAAAGGCTGACTTTTTAGAACAAAATGAATAGTTAAAGGGCTTAAACTAAACCAAATTGTCTGAAATTTCGTACAGTCATTAAAAACCCGACAAATTTTCAATCTATTAACTCCAAATATGATTACAGCTTTTAAATTTTGTGCGCGAGCCATTTTTATTTTGTTGGAAAAGACACACCCCCCTGGTTCACAAAATTTGAGTTCGAGAAATTTTTTTCATTATTTTACATTATAAGTACCCAAGGAAGCTATATATATAAAAAACCAGATACAAATAGGTGTTTTGCGAAATTGAGAGCGATTTCAAATCTGTTCAGTTTTTTTTGATACACCCTGTATTTGCGTCGTTTCTTAAAAACGAAGCAAGTTCAAGCAACAACATATTATATCGATATATTGCGTCGTTTATTAAGAACGAAGCAACAACATTATATTGATACATTGCGTCGTTTTTTAAGAACGAAGCAACAACATATTATATTGATATATTGCGTCGTTTTGTAAGTCAGAACGAAGCAACAACATATTATATTGATATATTTGTGTCGTTTCTTAAGAACGAAGCAAGTTCAAGCAACAACTTATTATATTGATATATTGCGTCGTTTATTAAGAACGAATTAGCAACAACATTATATTGATACACTGCGTCGTTTTTTAAGAACGAAGCAACAACATATTATATTGATATATTGCGTCGTTTCTTAAGAACGATAGAAGAACAACATATTATATTGATATATTTGCGTCGTTTCTTAAGAGCGAAGCAACACCATATTATATTGATATATTGCGTCGTTTATTAAGAACGAAGCAACACCATATCTTGATATAAATTGCGTCGTTTATTATAAGAACGAAGCAACAACATATTATATTGATACTGCGGATTCATGCAGGTAGACCGTTTAATGCGAATAGTTGTCGCGTTAGTTTTAACGGTTGTACGATGACGTTTCTAGGCAGATTTCCAGACGTTTCGAAGGCGTGGCTAAGTGACTTCAATGTTTATTTTCAAAATTTAAAGTTGTAATTACAACGGTTGAATTTTGAAATAAGCCACCACGCCTTAGAAACGTCTGAAAATCTGCCTAGAAACGTCATCGTGCAACCGTTAAAACTAACGCGACAACTATTCGCATTTAACGGTCTACCTGAATCTGCAGTATATTGAGTCGTTTCTTAAGAACGAAGCAACAACATATTATATTGATATATTGTGTCGTTTCTTAAGAACGAAGACACAACATATTATATTGATATATGGCGTCGTTTCTTAAGAATGAAGCAACAACTTATTATATATTGATATATTGCGTCGTTTCTTAAGAACGAAGCAACAACATATTTATGTGAAAGACGCATAATAACAGTGAAGTCAGTTTTAATATAATACAAGGAAGCAATGACATGTAGCCATATATTCAATTAATAGACATGCATGTATTCCTTGGTCGGCAAATGTCCAATGGACATTTCATGTGTCCATTGGACATTTCAAATGTCCATTGGATCCAATGGCCATTGGACATTACCCATTATCAATATATCCATGATGCCGTTTCCCGGTGGTTACAAAGTCCGGTTTAGTCCATTGGATCCAATTGACAGTTAAATATCCAATGGACATTCGATATGTCCATTGGACATGCACACGGGTTGTCCAATGGATCCAATGGACAGCCATATGTACAATGGACATTTCACATGTCCATTGGACATTTGTGTTAGTATTGGACATGTATGTTTTTATATGGGCGGGACCTACTACTGTCACCTATGAAGGAATATAAAAATAACGGCAAACAGCTGACAGCTAATGAAGGATAAAACCAAGCATGAAGTTGTTGGATGAGGGTTTTTGAGTAACGGTGGTAGGTGGAAAAGATAAACCATGTTGAAATGTCGATGAATTACCGATCTCACCGAATTGTGGCATCGTATCAAAAATTTGTATCGTTGCCATTCTCATGCACAAACGTCTACGGCTCACCTACTGCACACATTTTTGCATGCTTACAACAGGGTGTTTTTAATATCTACACAAAATACACAGTTCTGAACCCACTTGTGCAGTTCTTTAAACACAAAAATATAAAAAATATATAAAATATTCTGGGGGATCCTCAGAACCCCACTTTCGTCACAGATCACTGCACAGAGGGTGAATCTGCGACTTCAGCCCTAGAAACACGTGTAGTATCACGTGGTCAAAAATCTCGAAATGCGGACACTTTGCGGCAATTATTATGTGTAATAAATGTAGGCAATCACATGATACATCGAAACTTTAAGATTGTTTCTTCGCGAAATCAAACTAATATGCATATAGCGTTGTCGTAAACAAGAAATACAATGCCTGGAGAACAAAATACAAAGTATAAGGCAATAAACATAGCCGCGATAAAGAAATATTTGTATGAGTGTGGTGTAAGAGTCAATAGCTACTAAAAGCCTGGTCTGGTCAAACTCGCAGTTGCGGTTGAAAGATGATGTTTATTTATTATTTATTTTATTTATTATTGTTACCCCCACCCAACATCAAAAAGGTAAATGATGCATATACAATGAAGCAAAGATTAAATAACCCTTTCTTGCTGGCACATCAATGTCTGAACGCCGTCTGGGAGCCTTGCGTTTACGATGAAGCCTTTCAACCTACAATATATAAATATGTATAAACTCGTTGCAAGGTAAATATTACAATAAAACACGCAAATACATTCGACAAACCTTTTCTTTGCTTCTTATAGCTGATATGGGATGAAGATTTTGAGGAGATTTTGAGTTGGCCCATTAATTTTCGCCGACAAACTGCAAGCTACATATGCAACTGTCTTTCATGCACACGAATGACTGAATGCACGAGTCTCCTTAATGACACGCAATAATCCATGGCCCCCTTTTCGTCTATTTCCAGCGTTTTGGAGCCGGAAAACGATAGAAAGTAACATGATCGCCAGTTTTGTTGTTAGTTTGTAAATGTTGAGACAGAGATTCAGAATCATTTCTGCGAGTTCTCCAAGCACATCAGATTATCATTACTATTGTATTTATGCAAGCATGCCTCGCAAAATGTCCGCATTTCGCGATTTTTGAACAGGTGACACAACACGTGGGCGAGAAATGAAAGTGTGAGAACTGCCCACGCAACACACCCTGCTCAAAATCGAGTTTGCTTAGCAGCTCAATGTACTCAGGATCTAGGCTGGGATTACACTATACCGGAATAAAAAAACAAGGGTGTTTACACTATGCATGCCAATTTTTTATGCGATGCCACAATCCGGTGAGATCCGCCGTAACAAGAGTTAACTGCACGTATGAAGAAATTAGTTTCATTTTCCAATTTTTGGAATGATATTGTGTCTATAGTAGTTTTATATATAAATTAATATATACCTTTGCTTGAAGACAGGATCTGCATGTGTTGGATGCAAGTATTTTTCCAGCAACGATTTGATCGATTTACTCTCTGATACCCTGTAGTGAACAGAAAAAAGAGGTAAAGAGAAAGTATAGCAGAGTTCTTGATTTGGTAACTATCACGCGACAAAAAATAACATTCTGTCTGAAAATCTCCTTTCAAAAATCCCGTGACAAAATGAACACATTGACACTTTCACAAACCAAAAACAAAAACATACTTTGCCTCAACATAATGAGTATTTGCTTGAGGAAATTCCCATTTTATTCTCCACAATATAGCTTTAGTTCTATAAACGCACATGAGTAAGAAGAAAACGCAATTTTCGTGATTGATTTCGTAATTAAGAATTGTGGTAATGATATATACAAACGGACGAACTTACTTAAAATGAAAACAACTAGTATTTTCTAGTCTTGCTTGAAAACCAACAGGCATCAACCGCAGCTTAACTCCCTTCTTAGCTGCTTCATTTCTTAACTTCTTTACCTATTAAGTTAAATGTAAATTCAATAGAATTTGAAGGCCAGGCATTCGCCGTGGAAACACCTCCAATTTTCCCGACCTTTCAACAGGAAATTTGGAAGGGAAGAACTGAATTGATTATATCATTTTAGAAAGTGATTTCCTAAAAACTGCTAGAGTTTCCCGTGAGTTCCCCAAGCATCAAAATGTACTTTACCCTGTCAAACATGAGAAAGAGAAATATTTCTTTCATTGACAATAAACACAAAAATCTGTGGCACATGAGTGCCTAATGTATAATGCTTTCAACTACGATTTTTTTAATTCTCAAAAAACCCTGTTTTTGGAATTAAATCTATTCGGCTCCTACGATTTTTCTCAAAATCACATATTTTATGCATTTTGTGATTGCAGTAAAGTGTACAAAGTTTAAAAAAAGTTTAGAGGAGAAAATGCGCTTATTTTTTGTGTGTGACGTCAGAAAAATCAGGATTTCAATTTCCACGCGGGACAATCACCACGACGTTTTGGCGCAATCGTGATTCGACAAGTTCTCTACATCGACTGAAATTGCTATAAACAAGGGTAAACTTGATTTATTCGATAACATTTTTACAATTTTATTTACATTTATTAATTATTACGCTGTCATTTGAGCGGTATCTTTAAAATGCTGCACGGTGGTTGGGAGGATTCGATCGGTTCGAGTTACTCTTGGCGTCGTCATTGAAGGCGAATTACTGCATGGTCGTGGCTTCGAAAGAAAGGCTACTTAAAACCGTCTTGAACGAATTTGATATACGTTTTCTCAAGATCGTTGTATTATTAAGCACTCCCAGCGATTTTTTCAATCATATCTTTTGTTAAAATTGATGCGTTGTGTGCATTTGTCGAACCATCTTCATTCTTGAGCAAAGGATATTTGGCTTTCGTGAGATATTTAAATAACAGGATTGAGTCGGCAATCCAGACATCCAACGACTGCGTAGTCTTGAAGCAAACTTGCTCTCGAACATGCCTTAAAAGAATGGGGGTGTCAAAGGTGGAAACGTTAAGTCCTATAAAAATGGTACGTACGTACAGCTTGCTATGTTTCTACTTTTGCTTCATCAACGGACGCAGATATAAAGGTCAAAAACCTATCTAAAGCTAAGTGTAGGTCTACTGTCGGTAGCATTTGTCCAATTTTATTTTTCCAATTTTAATTTGTTCATTTACATTAACTATATCCAACCTCGTACCCAGGCTCTTTCCACTACGCGCCTCGCTGGAGGAATGACCCTGGTCCAGACTGGTCACGTGTCACTGGTCACGAGATAACAATTGCATGGGACTTATGGAGGGTAGGGAAGGCAAATGTGGCGTTCGAGTCGGTTCAAAACAATACAAGGAGTGTGGATAAAGCAACACAAAGGACTATACCATGAAACGAAGTTTTTATTGGCATGTATTTTTCATAAAATACGTCGTAACGGTTATTGTAAGGGACAAAGTTGTTAATAAAGCCTGGCTGGACGTTTGAAATTAAACTCTTAATAAAAACGTTAATAGATGTACTTCTCGGCGAAGCTCACTCAACGACACAGTCACGGGTTTAGTTCTACATACATGTATCAACAAGAAAAGGCAGAGTCCTCAGTTGAGTGTTGTATTCGGCTGAACACTTAATAAAATAACCACAGTTTGCGTAAAGTACTGTGTGGTTATTCACGATAATAAAAAAACCACAGTTTGCGTAAAGTACTGTGTGGTTGATTTTCCAATTTTGTTGAACTGACCATCTTCAATGAAAAATAAATAAGAACATTAATATACAGAGTATTTAGCTCGATATTCTCTCTAATAAATCCTATATTTTGGGTATTTAAAGGAGCGTATTTATTTGCAATCGATTGTTTCCCCAGTGAAATATGATCAATGTTTACACAAAATTGTATACTGTGCTCTTGATTTATAGCTGGGTGAAAGCTTTGTATTCTGTTTTGGAATTTCTTTTAAAACTTTTAGCATGTTACGACAGATAAGGCATACAAGTAAGGCCCAATATAGTTCTAAAGTTTGTACCTTAATACGCGCAGTCAAATTTAAATTAACCGAATTTATCTGACAAACAATTGGTCTGGATGTTTGTTTATATGAGGAGTCAAACGGCTGAGTCAAATTTGCAACATTTTTGCTTAAACTTCTTCGCTTCATATTTTCTTTCTTATATCAAAAGAATCATTATACATAGTTTTACAATAGCAAGTTTATTTACTCTCTATTGCCTTAAATAGCTTATTTTTCCCTTTGCCCGCCGTTTGTCTTTTAACGTATGAACGCCAAGCAAACTCTCTATTAAAAACATGTGTGCATAAAGAATTAAAAGTACATTTCGAAATATTATAATATATATATATAATCCCCTGCATGAGTACAGTCTTATTGAAACATCAGCTAGGAAATAAAATATGTACTAAAACTCCATAGAACTACTATCGATAATATATCGATTTTCTTACTGTTATTTCTATATGCATGTGCCGTGTTGTCGAGCCTTTTCCACTTATGATTACAATTTACGACAATTTACAATAGATTCGCTGTTGGCTGCTAGGCAAATGTTCTTTGCTTGTCCTTGAGTATATTACAATTTACAAATCCTTTCCTAGTACTTCTTTGCGGTTTTCCCAATATGAAACTGAAAGACTCCAGATCTTGCGTGGCGACGTCGCACATGCAATCCACAAAGAATACATACACAAAGACATCTCACCCATTGATTTTGCAAGACAAGCTTTTGCTATTCATTAAAATTACATGCATTTGCTAAAAATCTTAAAATACACACACTCTGAACTTTATCGAGTTGATATCGGCAACTAGATCAGTAAAACAAACTTAGCCCCC